AGGCAGGAGTGTGCAGGGAAAGAAAGGCATCCTTATCGCAGGTTCAACAAAATTCTCTTCTGAAACTAAGGGGAGCTCTGAAGGTAAAAGTGTGTATCAGAGTTATTCCACCTTGGCCAGAGCAAGTGAGACATTTATGTTCCCTGCTGGAGCAGTGTTTGGATGTGGTCCATTTTGGCACGTGTGTGATCTTTGGCAGAGCAGCTCCTGCGCCTCATGTTGTAGCTGAAGGCACTGATGGCTGATGAGTGACAGGTGACTACTCTCCCAACAGCTCAAGCAGCAAGTCTGTCCTGGAATGGGGCTTTAAGCAGTCCCCCTGCATGTCTATTTCACCTTCCTTCTTAAATGTTTCTTTGGCTGGGAATGCAACCCCAGGATGACAGTTACTGTTTTTCAGTTCTTCATTTTCCTTTATTTGTTGATATCAAGAGGTCTCCTCTTGAGGTATTCGGTATGCCTCTATGGGCAATGCATCTATTTTATGCTATTATATTTGTTTTCATCATTCTCTAGCTTTACAATGATGTGTCCAGTTGTGCTTCCTGCACTTAAGGAATCATTTCTCTCATTAAATTTGGAACATTACCACCCATTATTTTCCACAAATTGTCCAATCATCCCCTTTTACAATGTCTATGAGATGTACTTTGTACGTTTTTATTCCCTTCCTTAGGTCTCTTCACCTGTCCTTAACACTTTCTTTCTGTTTAACTGACTAGGAGGAATTGTACTGACCATGTTTTTATCTCTCCATAGTTGATGCTTCACAATTTGCCCTATGTGCATATTCCAGACACACCTTGATCTGGCCAACTACAATATGCCTGAGCCACCTTACCTTGGCCTTCTGTCTCCCTAGTCTCCACCTCCTCTCTTCAGGAGAAGCCCCCTTCCCTGGGAGCTCCCTTCACAAATACACACTACTCGATCGAGTGTGCATATCCCTAACTACCTGCTTATACAGCTCTCACACCTCATGCCACTCTCTACCCTCCCTAATCTCCCCAGCGCCAGGTGTCAGACAACTATGGGCTTCCCCTATGTCCCATATCCTGCTGAAATTATTCACAACATCCGGTTCTCCACCCGTATGCTCTGCCCCAGCCATTCCTACCCTCAGAAAACACAGTAAAGGTTTTGCTCACAGCTGCCACTCTCCCTCTGCTTTATAACCCACTCTGATTCTTCCCCATGTGGCCTCCCGTGGTGTGTCCTGTCCTTTCTCTTTGGAACTGTGAGTTATAAGGTATATATTCAGGCCGGGCATGGTGGCTGACACCTGTAATCCCAGCATTTTGGGAGTCCGAGGTGAGCGGATCACTTGAAGCCAAGAGCTGGGATCACCCTAAGCTACGGGGTCATTGAGACTCATTCTCTACAAAATAAATAAATACAGTTATCTGGGCATAGTGGTGAGGACCTGCAGTCCCAGCTACTCTGGAGGCTCGGGCAGGAGGATCGCTTGATCCCAGGAGTTTGCGGTTGCAGTGAGCTATGATGACAGCACTGCATTGCAGCCTGGGAGACAGAGTGAGACCCTGTCTCAAAAAAATAATAATAAATAATAAATAAATTATTAATTCAATGTAAATTATCTCTTGATGTATTGCCCTTACCTTATATATATTAAATTTTCTTTTCATATACTACAATTTCAAGCAAACATTCCATATATTTTCTGTCATCTATCTTTCACTAATTCTCAGCTCAACTATACCTACGTTTTGAAGTAATTATATTGACCTCTTGAACTATCTCACTTTTCTCATGCCTAGAAATTTGTGGCCTCTATTCGATGAGTAGTTGCTCCTCCTTAATGTTTTATATACCACATCATTTATTTAAACACCCTAAACATATAATAGTTTTCATTTGATAGTGTCTTTGGAGGCTTACATTTTTGATTGGTCATTTCTGCTGAGGGTGGAGGATCATGTGCATTTTGATGAGAACTTTATGAGACTCTTGTTAAAGCCTCAATTAAAAATATACCCCTACAGAAAGAATTTGGTTTGGTTTTTTGCCATATCCAGGCTTCCTCCACAAAATTAATTAGACCACGGTGATATCGTTAATATGAACCCCAAAGCTACAAGAAGTCAGGACTGTATTGACAAGCCCTCAAGGGAGACGTTTTTCATCATTCAGACCCCAGTCCAAAGGATATTAATTTCTCTGTCATCTCCTTTCACAATAGGAGAGTTTCCAACTTTTCATACTGAAACTATAGCACCTTTTAATCAAATATCTTTCAACACAGCCCATGTGAAGGAGTTCAGAGAATTACATGGTGGAGGACCATACCACAGGACAGAAATAGCTAAACCACAATTCTGAAAAAGTAATATCCCTTATAACTGCTGCCACAGAAATTTTGAAAAGATCATAAGAAACTACTATGAAAAATGATGGACTAACAAACTAGATTTTCTAGAAGTAATGAATAAATGCCAAAGTCATTCTTGCATATGGGTCTCAAGTACATTGTATTGTGCAAGAAGTCATTTTAAGGAATCGAATTCATTAGGATTTTTTGGTTGTGGCCTGGATGTTTTGTTTCTGTAAATGCAGAACTCAAATAGCAGCATTAATAAAATAACTCAGGAGGCCGAGACAGGAGGATGGTTTGAGCATAGGATTTCGAGACCAGCCTGAGCAAGAGCAAGACCCAATCTCTAATGAAAATAGAAAGAAATTAGCTGGACAACTATAAAATATATATGGTATATACAAAAGATTTAGCCGGGCATGGTGGCACATGCCTGCAGTCCCAGCTACTCGGGAGGCTGAGGCAGGAGGATCGCTTGAGCCCAGGAGTTTGAGGTTGCTGTGAGCTAGGCTAACGTCACGGCACTCTAGCCCAGACAACACACTGGGACGCTGTCCACAAAAAAAATTAAATAAATAAAAAAAAATACCTTTAAAATACATCATAATATGACTATGTAGTAAAGCCTGGTACCTGAAGGATGACTGACACACATGAAATCTACAAAATACAGGAAAAACATGGGGGGGGGGGAGTTCATGTTGAAGACCTGAAGGGGAATACAGTATATGAAATATTTCAATTCAGTAGCAAAAAGAGGAAAAAGGACATCAGTGATGCAAGCATGATGTAACAGTGTGCTTTGTTGAAAATTTAAATAAAGGGAAAAGGATTTACTGTTTATATAAATAGGTATAAGCATCAATCTGAGGAAACTAGTATTAATAGGACAAATGAAATACAGTAACATATATTCATAACCCATCTAATGGAACACATTTAAATAAAGAAGTGAAGACCCAAAACACACTACAGAAATTTCTAAATCAAAAAGTTCAAAATAAAATACCAGTCCATTTTCTCCAAAAATTTAAGTTACTATTCAAACCCATTTGGACTTAAATTATTTCTCTTGTTTTCCAAGGTATCACTTCTGGTATTAAAACATCAAGGCTTGGGACTTGCAATAATCCATCGTGGGGATGATGGGAGCATCCAGTGAGAACAGGCAGAGCTCTGCTCTCCAATGGCTCAGCTAGTGAAGGACCTGCAGTCCCTGTGCTAGAGCCATTGCCCCAACGTGTGAGGAAGTGTTCTGGGCTGAACCAGTAAGAGTCTTGCTAAGATGATTCGCTAAAGACATTGAGGTAGAAGGGCTGTGATGCTTTGCCTATTGTTTATTTAATTCATTGCCTGTATCCATATTTTGGTCATAAGTATAAGGATATGATTCCAGGCGTGTGGGGGGACTTATCTCCTACTTATGCCATCAAAAAAGAGAACAACAAGAAATCAATCATCAGAATTAAAATGATTCCCCTACCTCCACCTCCCATTTCTTCCTGAAGCTATTTGACAGTTAACTAATTTTTTTCACCTCCAAGCACCTATGCCTGATGAAATAAACCTCCCTACTTGAACGTTCGAGTGTAATAAACCAGCTCTCATTGCAGCAGCCAAACACTAGGGTCAGGCCTGATTCTGACACATCCCTCACCGCCCTCCTCTTCTTTGAACAATGCCGGTTACTCCTCGATCACAGGAGGATGGGCGTGGGATGGGGCAGGAGAAGCTTGAAACAGGGGCCAATTACTATTTATGCTCATTAGGTGGGACCAAAAATATAATCTAAGATCACAGGCAGGTTTTGGTGGACGCCAAACAGGACATTCCTGAAGCCGCCATTGGTACCGATTCACCACCTATTAATATTTCCCCAGGGTTCTGAAGCCGATCCACGTGGACCTCAGCCGGACACAGGGGCCCGTGGTCCTCATGGGTTCCTTCCTTCTCAACCTCTCCTAGAGCATCGCCCACAAGGCCACCCGGCTGGCCCGCTACACAGGGTGCCCGACCGTCACCTCCAGAGAGACCCAGGCGGCCCCGCGCCTCGTGCTGCCCGGGAAATCGGCAAGCACGCAGTGTCAGAGGTCACCAACGGCGTCCTCAGATACACTCGCCACAAACGAGCCGCCTCAGGATCCACCTGAGCACCGAACGAACCGCAAAGGCTCTTTTCAAAGCCACCGTAGTTGGCCTGAGAGAGCTGTGGCACTAAACAAACAGGAAGATGCCTTATACTGTTGGGTAGATGGCCTCCTGCGGATTTGGAGGGCAAGTGGCAGGCCATGTCCCACAGATTTGAGGGAATGTAGCATGTGGCGTCCTGACAGTTTGGGGGGAGGGGGGCATGTGGCATCCTGCTGATTTTCTGAGCTCACGTGGTCAGATGACCTTTTGCCCTGTAGGGCACCATACTACCTTTCTCCGAATCACACAACAGGAAGCTCATAGGTCCACACACGCCAATTGTGATTGGTGGATGCGATGCCCCCCAGGAGGACTACCCAATCACCTTGAGGGCTCTGCGGTTGGTTGACAGCATCACCCCGTGACTTTTCATCCAGTCAGATGGCGCGATGGCCCGTGACGTAGGGAAGCGAGGTCCATAAAAACGGGTCCCCAACGGGCAGAAACTGCCACATTCGGTTCTCCAGAGCCCGTGGCAGTTGTCTCCGCCATGGCTGAGCCTTCGTCTGAGATGTCCTCCGACGCCTGGTCGGTCACCAAGGAGCCTGAAGAGGCTGAATCGACAACGACCCAGAAGAAGCAGCAGCCAAGGCGTCGGGCCCGCCGCTCCGGCCGGGGCGCGGACAGCTTCGCCACCTACTTCCCCAGGGTCCTGAAGAACGTCCACGACGGCCTCAGCCTGTCCCAGGAGGCCGTGAGCGTGATGGACTCGTTCGTCCACGACATCTTCGAGCGCATCGCTGAGGAGGCCGGCCGGCTGGCGCGCTACACCAAGCGCGCGACCATCACGTCCAGAGAGATCCAGACGGCCGCGCGCCTCATTCTGCCCGGGGAAATCGGCAAGCACGCCGTGTCCGAGGGCACCAAGGCCTTGGCCAGATACAGTCGCCGCAAGTGAGCCGCCTCAGGATCGCCTGAGCACCGAACCCAAAGGCTCTTTTAAGAGCCACCTCACTTGTCCCGAAAGGGCTGTAGCACGCCACCAGGGGGCTCGGTGGAGTTCGGGGGCAGATGGCAGTTGGCGTCCTCCCGATGTGGGGCCGTGTGTCCAGCGCCGTCCTGCCCATGTATGACCGAATTTCCCAGGGGTGCTTCGTGTGTGATATAGCAGCAGATAACGGGCACAGACAGACAGTGACAGATAGCGAAGTCACCCATATCCTGACCTAACCGTTCTTCAACACACCCCATCTTAGAGATTCATTGAACGTGGAAGTGAGCGTACACACAGCACAGAAATGGCTAAACCAAAGTTTAAAAAAACAATTACCGTTTCAGGCCCCCTAGAGGCTGACGTTAATACCTAATTTGCTCAATTTTTTCTGATTTTTTTTTCATCTCCAGCCTGAAATCTTTCCTGTTTTGAACACATGGACTACCACACTAGAGAAATGTTTTTTCTTGGGTCCCGGGCGTTTTATAACGAAAATAGAATAAAAGATTTGAAAAGAAAAGTATCCTTTCTTATTTAATGAAAAATTTCTGAAAGAAAGAAATTTATTGACTTCTTTTTTCTTTTTATTTCTGCATATTATGGGGGTACAAGTGTTTAGGATACGTGTGTTGCCTTTGGCCCTCCTCGCCCCCCACCCAGTCAGAGGTGAAAGCGTTTCCATCCCCCACATGGTGCACAGCGCACTCAGTCTGTATGTGCGTACCCGGCCCCTCCCCCCCTCCCATCTGCCGGATGCCTGATAAAAGTTATTCCTATATGTCCACTTAGGTGTTCATCAGTAAACCCATTTGATGGTGAGTACATATGGAGCTTATTTTTTAATCCTTGGGATACTTCACTTGTTAGAATGGGTTCCAGCTCTATCCAGGAAAATACTAGAGGTGCTATATCACCATTGTTTCTTATACCTGAATAGTACTCCATGGTATACATATACCACATTTTATTAATCCACTCATGTATTGATGTGCACTTGGGTTGCTTCCACATCTTTCCAATTGTGAATTGTGCTGCTATAAACATTTGAGGGCAGATGTCTTATTTATTTGTTTATTTTTTGAGACAGAGTCTCATTCTTTTGCCCAGGCTACAGTGATGTGGTGTCAGCGTAGCTCACAGCAACCTCAAACTCCTGGGCTCTAGCAATCCTTCTGTCTCAGCCTACCCAGTAGCTGGGACTACTGGGTGCGACACTACAGCATGTGCCACCATGCCCAGCTAATTCTTTCTATATATTTTTAGTTGGCCAATTAATTTCTTTCTATTTTTTTAGTAGAGACAGGGTCTCGCTCTTGCTCAGGCTAGATTCGAACCCCTGACCTTGAGCGATCCACCTGCCTCGGCCTCCCAAAATTCTATGATTACCGGCATGAGCTACTGCACCCAGCACAGGTGTCTGTATTATAGAACTTTGTTGGGAAAATATCATTGAGGAATTAATGAGATGTAGCTCTTAAGACAATTCTTTTAGTGTATAACCCAACATTGCTATATTAAATACAGAAACAGGAGTTTCCAGAGTTTTGCCCTGAAGGAATGTGTGAACTCAATAGTTCACTTATTAAAGGCAGCTATTATGGGAGAGCTCTCAAATCTCTGGTAGGGATGTTTTCCAGGAAGGCTTCCTGGTATCTAAAAATCTGTGAGCTTCCCTGTGGTTGGAAAAACAAGACAAGGCAAATATGCCCCATAGGATGGGAGTTGGAGACAACGAGGGCCCTTTGCCCAGAGATGCGCCCCTGTCGTTAAAAACAACTTATTTATTAGAGATGTGTTTCCTGCTCTCTACTATCTGTCTACCTTCAAGTCCACAAGAACTAATAAAAGAAATATAGAGTCACTATACCTCTTTTGTTATACCTTTGTTAATTGACACCTACCTCCTAGAACTTAGAAGTTAGCCCCTGTAAGACTTTGTACCTCTTTGTTCACCTAGCTAGATTAGAAGCCCTTTGAGAGGACCTTGGACCCTAACCCACTACCTGCATAATCCTGTCTCCCCTAGCAACTGCATTCCCTGATATGCAAATATTCTACCCTGAAAACTGATAATTGATGTCTGTGATTATAAAAACCTGTATGAATCTAACCATATTGCTGAATGTTCATGGGGATATGTCCATTCTGCTGTGTAACCCCACTGTTATATCTGATCTTTTTATATAAAACTATAAAGTATACCTTAGTCTCTGTGTATTCTTTTATTTCTCTATATTTCCCATCAATTTCTTTATCCTCTGAGGCGACTCTTAACTTAAGGACTTGGCTCTGCGGGGAGAAGTGGCTAATCTCCTCATGGGCCTGCCTCAACTACTTCCCCACAGAATGTCTCTTGTTCTTTTGGGTAGATCCCCAGTAATAGGATTACTGGATCAAATGGTAGATCTACTTGTATCTCTTTAAGATATCTCCATATTGCTTTCCACAGAGGTTGTACTAGTTTGCAGTCCCACGAACTGTGTATGAGTATTCCTATTTCTCTACATCCATGCCAACATTTATTGTTTGAGGACTTTTTGATAAAGGCCATTCTCACTGGAGGTAAGTGATATCTCATTGTGGTTTTGATTTGCATTTCCCTGATGATTAGAGATGTTGAGCATTTTTTCATATGTTTCTTGGCCATTATTCTGTCTTCTTTTGAAAAGTTTCTGTTCGTGTTCTTTACTTGCTTTTGGATAGGGTTGTTTGATTTTTTTCTTGCTGATTTTCCTGAGTTCTAAGTAGATTCTAGTTATCAGCCCTTTATTGGATATGTAGCATGGGAAAATATTCGCCCATTCTGTAGGGTGTCTGTTTGCTCTCGTGACAGTTTCTTTGGCTGTGCAGAAGCTTTTTAGTTTGACCAGGTCCCATTTATTTATTTTTATGGTTGTTCTGGTTGCCATTGGTGTCTCCTTCATAAATTCTTTGCCTAGGCTAATGTCTATAAGAATTTTTCCCAACATTTTCTTCTAGAAATCTAATAGTTTCACACCTTAAGTTTAAGTCTATTACTCAGCGTGAGTTGATTTTTGTGAGAGGTGAAAGGTGTAGATCTTGTTACCATCTTCTACATGGGCCTATCCAGTTTTCCTAGCACAATTTATTGAATATGGTATCTTTTCCCCAGTGTATGTTTATGTCTGCTTTGTCAAAGATTAGATGGCTATATGAGGATGGTTTTACATCTGGTTCTCGGTTCTGTTCCACTGGTCAATGCCCCTGTTCTTGTGCCATTCGATGGCTATTTTAATTACTATAGCCTTGTAGTATAGTTTGAAGTCTGGTAAATTGATACCTCCCATTTTGTTTTTATAACCTAAGATTGCTTGTGGTATATGGGGTCTTCTCTGGTTCCATACGAAGTGTAAATTTATTTTTTCTATATATGTGAAAAATGATGTTGGTATTATAATAGGGATTGCATTGAATCTGTAGATCACTTTGGGTAGTATAGACATTATAACAATGTTGATTCTGCTGACCCACGAGCGTGGTATGGCATTCCACCTGTTTATGTTCTCTGCTATTTCCTTCCTCAGTGTTTCATAGTTCTCCCTGTGGAGGTCTCTTACCTCCTTAGTTAAATATATTCCTAGGTACTTTATTTTCTTTGTCGCTATTGTGAAGGGTATGGAGTCTTTGATTTGGTTCTCAGTTTGACTCTTATTGGCGTATATGAATGCCACTGGTTTGTGTGTACTGATTTTGTATCCTGAGAGTTTATTGAATTTATTTATCATCTCCAGGAGTCTGCTGGCTGAATCCTTGGGGTTTTCTAGATGTAATAGCATATTATCAGCAACGAGTGAGTGTCTGATCTCTTCTGGCCACATTTGGATGCCCTTAATTCAACTGTCTTGTCTAATTGCTATAGCAAGGACTTCCAGAACTATGTTGAAATGAAGTGGAGATAGTGGGCAACCTTGCCTGGTTCCAGTTCTAAGTGGGAATGCTTTCAATTTTTACTCATTCAGTATGATGTTGGCTGTGGGTTTCTCATATATGGCTTGTATTATTTTTAGGTAAGCCCCATCTATGCCTCTTTTGTTAAGCGTTGTAATCATAAAAGCGTGTTGAATTATATCCAATGCTTTTTTTGGCATCTATTGAGAGGATCATGTGGTCTTTGTTTTTGCCTCTATTTATATGGTGAATTACATTTATATATTTGTGTATGTTGAATCATCCCTGCATCTCTGGGATGAAGCTCACTTGGTCGTGATGGATTATTTTCTTGATAAACACCTGGATTCGGTTTCCTAGGATTGTGTTGAGAATTTTTGCATCTATATTCATAAGGGATATTGGTGTATAGTTTTCTTTTTTTGTTGTGTCCTTTCCTAGTTTGGGTATCAGAGTTATCTTGGCTTCATAAAATGTGTCAGGGAGGTTCCATCCTTCTCAATGTTGTGGAGTCTTTTCTGCAGGACAGGACCAGTTCTTTTTCGTAGGTCTGATAAAACTTTGGTGTGAAACAATCTGGTCTGGGACATTTCTTTTTAGCAAGGTTTTTTGTTGTTGTTGCTGTTTCAATTTCAGTAGTTGATATTGGTCTGTTCAGGAATTCTATTTCTTCCTGGTTGAGCCTAGGGAGGCTGAGTGTTTCTAAAAATTTGTCCATATCCTTCACATTTTCCAGTTTGTGTGCATAAAGGGTTTTGTAGTATTCATATATGATATCTTGTATCTCTGTGGCACCAGTTGTAATTTCTCCTTTTTTGTTCCTGATGGAACTTATTAGACATTTTTCTTTTCTGCTTTTTGTTAGTCTAGCCAAAGCCATGTCAATTTTGTTTATTTTTTTCCAAAAACCAATTATTTGTTTTATTAATCTTCCGTATGGTTTTCTTGCTGTCAATTTCATTTAGTTATGATTTGATCATCTTAATTTCACTTCTTCTGCTGGGCTTGGGGTCAGTCTGTTCTTCTCTTTCCATCTCTTTGAGTCAATTTATTAGGTTGTCTATTTGTGATCTTTCTGTCTTTTGGATATAGGCATTTATGGAAATTAACTTTCCTTTCAGCACTGTTTTAGCTGTGTCCCGCAGGTTTTGATAACTTGTGTCTCCTTTGTCATTTAGTTCAAAGATTCTTTTTATTTCCATCTGATTTCCTCATTTATGAAGTGAACATTCAGCAGAAGATTGTTTAGTTTCCACAACTTTGTGTAGAAATGAGAATTTCTGTTAGGGTTGATTTCTACTTTTATTCCACTGTGATCTGAGAAGATACATGGTATAATTTCTATTGTTTTAAATTTTTGAGACATGCTTTGTGTCCTAGGATATGGTCAATCTTAGAGAATGTCCCATGAGCTGATGAGAGGAATGTATATTCAGTAGATTTGGGGTAGAATGTCCTGTAAATGTCAGTCAGACCCATTTGTTTTAGAGTTCTGTTTAAGTCCATTAGTT